ACACACACACACACACACACACACACACACACACACACACACACACACACACAGACACACACAAACAACACACACACACACACACACAAACAAAAAAACTAACTTCAGCTCCCCCCCCTTTTTTTTTTCCGGAGGCCCCGTGCGGCCTCAAATTTTTGTTTTTGTTTTTTGTGGGTCTTGACGCGAAATCCCACTCGGGCCTAAAACACCCCTCCCCAACTTTTTTTTTTTTTCTCGACCCCTATTTTCGGGGTGCGCTGCACTCAGTGGGCCCGCGTCGTGCGCTGTGCGCGGTGCGGCGTGTGTGCGTGGTGCAGCGCACGTCGATGCGCCGCATGTATGAGTCATACAGAGCTGCCCGGTTAACCGTAGGCAGAGAGGGAGAATATATATATATATATTTTTTGGCCCGGCCAGGCAAATAGTCCAGGTCCACCCTGGTAACCTCAGAAAAAAATCTGAAATAAAGAATGTTATGCAGAAAATTAAACTGAACAACTCTTGCCCCAGGGTCACATCGAAATTCTTTAGCAAAGTATATAAAAAAAAAAAAAAAAACGTTTTTGTTTTTTGACCCGTCTGGGCAAGTGCTCCCCGGCCACTCTGGTAGCCTAGCTGTGCAGTGTTTTTTTGGAATGTTAGGGGCTGGCCCCGCTGAGCTATATCTACGTCTAGGTTTTGAAATCCGACCATCAGTATCCGAAGTTTCGTTTTACAACCGTCCGATTGGCGCACAAAGACCCACAAGTCACCTAGACAAAGCTCATTTGGGCCTTTCCCTTAACTTTTGCCTTTCACAAATTGAGTCACGTCTTTGATTCCTGTCTTCCCTGACATGCTGATGTCTAGACAAGCTAGACAAGATCAAGACGTCGACATCCAACTTCCCGCGCTGGCCCTACTTCTTCTTCCCTTCCCCCCCCCCCACCCCCCCCCCCCCCCCCAAAAAAAAAAAAAAACACCCCACCCCACCCCCTTGAATCCCCTTGCAACAATTCCCGCGAGTATCCTCATAGCCTTGAAAGGTTTACACCAACGCAACGCAATACACATATTCTTCAACCAGCAGTACATCCGAGCCTCTTTTGTATGAGGCGCATGCCCCCTGCGCACCAAGCGCAGTGTGTTTTTCTTTTGTTTTTTTCCATTTTGGCTAGTGCCGCCAGCCATTTTGGTTTGGTTGCCCCGAGCCTCCAAAATTTCCAGATTGGGGCAATAATTGTTCTCAAGTTGCCTGGTGCAGTGTACTGGTGGATTAGTGCTTAAGGCATTACATCGGGAGGCCTCCCATCGAACTGCAGACCGTGGTATATGCGGTATAGCCTTATAGGCCCATTGTGGATACAACACATTTTTGATTTTTCACCTGGGCGGTGCACCTGGAAGCTTTTCTGTTTCTTACCTGGGTCATGCACCTGGTCGTGAGGATCCGAACGAGTTTGTTGAACAGAGGGTCATCTTCCTTCTGCACACACACAAGCATGCCAGTTGACACGACCAATCAGAAAATGATGTGAAACATATATATAATAGTATTATATAATAATAATAGAACATGCCATGTGTGCCCACCTTAACCTGGAGTGTACTATTCTTTTGCCTTCTAAGGTGGAGGGGAGAAAGAAAAAAAAAGCAACTGCCCTGCCTTAACCATCAGAAAAAGTAGTATTTCGTTCTTCGGGACATCCGTTAAAATTGGAACGATACAGAGAAAGAAGATTAGCATGGCCCCTGTGCTATAGGATGACACGCACAAATCGAGAAATGGTCCATAAGAGAGAGGGAAAAGAAAAAGAAAAAAAAAAGTAGTATTTGCTGCACCATGCTGATTGGAGAGACAATCGACGACATGCTGTGGACGATGAAATAGAATTACTTTTTTTTATGGAACGAAATATTTAAGTGTCTGGCCATAATCATTCCGGAGTCCGCACAGATTTAGAACAGTGCGCTTCACAGCCGCAGAACCGGCAACCACAACAGCGTCAGACAAGAAATCAACACCAGCCGCGTATGGCAATGTCTGCACACGGAAGAGCAAACGGAAGAGCAAACATAAGCAACGACAGCTTGCAGTGGAATATAATTAAAAAAACTAACTCAAAAACTCAGAATATTAAAAAAAAAAAAAAAAAAAAAAAAAAAAAAAAAAAAAAAAAAAAAAAAACCAAAAAAAAAAAAAAAAAAAAAAAAAAAAAAAAAAGATCGCCACAACCAGAGTGCAGCGCCTGCCACAGTAGTGGAAAAATTGTCCCTTCAGGATGATGGTCATTGAAATCCCAAATTTAATTGAAAAACAGAAAAAAAGAAGGGAGCCCTTGGATAGATCCAGTGCAAGGATGATGAGATAAATCAAGACTTGGTCCCACAGGCCCAGATATCAAAATTGAAAAAACAAAGGCAAAGAAAATACAAAAAGCCAAAAAGGCATGGTAACCGCGGACCCGGACACCGGACGAGTGTCTGGACCGGTCCGGAC